CTAAATGTTTCTCTGCACACATCTATTTAGGTCAAACTATCCTTACTCTAATGAATGTCCAGGTCCCTGTGCTTCTACTGGCTTAGTTAACCCTGTCTGTAATGGATAAAATGATTTCCTTCACTTTTTATTACAACTACTTACATTTTGTGAATATTATACTGACGTATTGTACCAACCTGTTTGGAGATTGTTCTGCCCCTTTCTATAGGGAGTGTAGATAATATTTACTTGGACTCCTTATAAGACCGAATAACAATGCACAGGGGCTCGTAACTAATATATAAAAATATATACGAACACGCATACAGCATTAGGTGTGTTCGTGTGTATTTTAAGATAGCTGTTACAAGTCTCTGTGGAATATTACTAGGTAATCCAAGCAATGTACATCAAACAACGACTAGAGGTTTGTGCAAACACAGTATATGTTATTTATAAATATTACACTGTGAAATCTATAAATAGCAAAGTGTTAACCGTACTCGAGTTAGTGTAATGGTCCATAATAGGGACGCCAAAGAGGTTGAAAACAGGCAAGCCTCCACACAATTAAGCTAGAATCTTATGACGAAGCCCGAATGCAACGAAATGTTCAACGACAAACAGATACGTAATATATACCTTGTCTACATATCCTCGGGCATAACACAACAGACGTCTAAATATTCATAATTCAGACTTAATTACGAGTACACACAAACAAACGGTTGTACGAATACTTACTCTTGTGCCATGATGGTAGTTTACGTGAAATCCGTCCTATGTCAAAATAACGTTACGTTGAAATGTTTTCTCTCTTCGTCATGCTCGTGTTGGTCTATACCGAGTACGTGTGTGTAGCCGACTGACAAGTACTTGCCTGGTATCGTGTATGACCAAATAATCAATAATGAACTGATCGTTAGTGTACTCGACTAGAAATACCATCAAACCGTGTTCAACAGAGGGTAACCTATTGAAAAAGTCAGTTTCACGTGTTGATTTCTAGAATAGGGAGATCAACCACAGTAGTGTGAGGGAGGTTGTACATAAATAACGTCCTAATATCTATGGTCATGATTTACCTTAGACGATGTATTTATAGATTTAAAAAGCCAAACTAATCAGACTTGGTCTTCGTATAGAGACATTCACATACACACATGCTCTAGGTTGATTTTCTATACGTTGGATATTTAAATTGGGTTGTTCTAGTTCATCGTTTGTGTGTTGTGGACGATCAGTATGTGTTTATAATGTGTATTTGACCTTTATTATCTCTCCTTATTACTATGATCAGCTTATTTGATTTACTCTGTATAAAGTCTTTAACAGGAACGGTTTACAATCATGGAGACTGGCGGTCAGTCTAGCTTAAACCACGGGGACTTGAGAATGTGTTACAGCTATATTTGGACATACCACTAAAACGTGAAAAATCACCCTAAACATCTTAGTTTAGGTCGATATATTACTGTGACAAATTCTCAGACCACTATGGCTTAAACCACTCAACACGAAATATCTAACTTTTACATGATGGGAACTATTACATTGGGTTTACCTCAACAAAGCTGTCATATAGCTTCCACTTTATACGTATTCCGTCTTTGCGTATTGCAGAGTTATCTTCTCTTGGGAGCAATTGATTGTTACGTCACTTTTTTGTGAGAGTAACGTCATCAATTGTTGAGAAAACGACGTAATTTTCTCGCACAAACCAATGACGTAACAATCAATACCTTCTCCCACGAGAAGATAACTGCAATACGCAAAGACGGAATAGGCTCTTTAAGACGTCTTCATTATGGGTTTTTTTCTGAACACATAGGCTACTAAAGAATTAGATGACGTTTAACAGGGGGTCCCAACGTCATCACAAAACCCCATTCTTATTCCTTTTTACTGTAATATTAAAATGCGTTTTCTTTTGTGTTTTCGAGTCGTTGCAAAATAATGAAACGTGTAATGTCTATTTTCAAAAGTGATTGTTTTGAATATTAATTAAAAGTCAAGCGTTTAGACTTCAATTGAAATTTTGATTTTTTTTTCACTTTGGGATATATGTGCCCATGTATTATCCTTAATCTACAAAAAATTCATATGAAAATATCGATAATTCATGTTATAATATTATATTCATCTACAATCAATTTGATTAGAAAGATATTTGTGTCAAACACTCTTCCTGAAATGTTAAAAGAATAACCACAATTGATGTGGTTTACGTCGTAAAATGTGTGTAGTTTTCGTACTATATACATTTCGATTATGTATCAGTATAATCCATAATCGATGTTGAAGTGCCATTATAAAATCATTTGAGAAAAACTTACAGGTGTATTTAGAAATAAACAAATATATATCGTTTTTAGCTCACATTGTTTATCGATACGCCACGCTGGTGTTTAATGAATAAATCCTTAATCGCCTTTACATATATGGCATGTACCGACATGACGCGCAGATACGTGTGAACGGGGGCCTGCTCGTTTATGCGGAACGACCGGTTCGTCTGTTTTTAATGTAAAATGTTCAGGTATATATCCTGGCTAACATGAAAAAGTGTATGCAAGCCTTGCAAGGCTCGCCTCAAATGAGGCGGAATAACTCTGGTTCAGCCGTTTGAATCGCGATTTAAACGAATGAGGCCCTGGTCTTTGAGTTAAATATTGGGAGAACATAGCATGCACTACCTATATTATTTGAACTCAACATACATCATCATATACGCTGTTATATTTATAGTGCATTTTAGTTCCGAGATATACCCGACATAATATAAATCTGATCGGCTATCACATCGAGGTTGATATATTAGCATGTTTTTTCATCATCTGTGCATTCAGAACTTCCAGGATTTTTTTATCATGTTTTCTCGTTTTTTAGGAAGATTCTCAATTCGCCCAATACAGATATTCATATAATTGTACGGGCTTGATTTCATCAAGTTTCACCCAAAGCGCTATGAATATTCATCCTTCAACGAGTGCCGATTCCATTTTTTTTTTATTTTTGTATACAAACATTGAAAATATTAAATAAAATATGCAAAATAATACCAAATGCGCTCTTCTCCTTCGTGGTTTTGAGATGGTTCGGGATGAATTATTTGACTAAGAAGTTTGCCGTTCTTTTGAATTGACACTGTAACAAGGACTGTTCTGTATACAATATCCCAGATTGTAAAATCTTTACTTTGATATTTACAGGTAAATAAAATCTGACACCAAATACTTCAATACTGATCAATTGATTATAAGGTCATGGCCGTCTCTTGTAAGGAAGAAATCGCAATATTTCGGAATGTATAATGATTACAATTATAAAACATGGGTACTGGGAATTCAAACAATTTTAACTGTAACAAGACTGACAAAAAAGGCCCCTACTGGTACAAATCCGTTAATAATCCATTCAGCGTTCACATCCATCCTTATGTTCCCCCTAACTTAGTTTGTTTTCTGACACCAGACGTATTTCAGATGTTCTCTCGAAAACTGGTGAGGTTTGCGCAACTATCCGTCTCACTATGACACTAAGTGTTATGGCTATATATAGCGGACGGTAGAAGTCGGCGACCATATGTGATGTTCGATTAAAAAGAGAAAGATGGTTTATCCCGAGACATATAAAGCCATATAGGTCTCTGGTTTATCAATAATCGTGCGAAAATTCTGAAGTGTCTGATAAGTAGATGGCAGAACAAAATCAACGTTTTCGCAAGATAGCTGCCGTAGATTGGTCATGATCAAGACAATTACGATTTCAACTAGAGTTCTACAGGATCAACTTTGTTCATAAATTGTGTAAGTCACTGAAATACAGATTTTTAACTTCGGGATTGAAGTCAGCCACCGTGATCACCTCTGATTTGTCAGAGATAATTATCGTTATACATCGAACCCTGTTGGACCGACTCTGCTCGTACTAGGTTGAATCAATCACGGACTTAGATAAACCTAAATCCGTGGATCAATCTAGTATATGGTGTATGTCAAATATGAGATGGCTTGGTGGCTATATCTATAAATAAAGTAAATTCTGAAGTACTCAAATTGTAGCATGTTTTTTTTTTTGGCACAATGTTGCTTTGGAGAGGGGCCATACACCAGGCATACACATGCTGTATAGATGAATTAGATGATACGTTTAATGGATTATGTACATATTAAGTTGTAAATGTCTTAGCCAATCTGGATCACAGGCCACGCTGGCCATCTGGAATTTTACAATCAGCATGAAAAGTAACAAATGAGAGGTCAGGGTGACCATCTTGGATTTTCTGATAGGCACAAAAAAATAAGAACACTTGTTTGGAACCTCACAACGAATATTTGTACAAATAAGAAGCGAATTGCTGCTGCCAATTACTGTCTGATAGGGCCCATTTGCAACTTGTCCGAGATCTTATTGATACAAAGCAGCATAGCAAAATTCATCAAATCCATTCACATTTACTGAAGTAATTGCGCTCACAAGCCCAAGTCCCATAGGTTCCAATAGTAATTAAAATGTCCAAGTTCCATTACTCTGCTAGTTATTGTCTGATTGGGACCACTTTCAAACTCGTCTGAGATCTTATTGATATAAAGCAGCATAGCAAAATTTATCGAAATCCATTCACTTTTACTCAAGTTATCGTGCTCACAAGATTAAAGCTAACACATGACGACAGAGGAAGACGAATGGTCAGGTGATCTAAAAATGTGTGTTTGATAATCAGAATCCTTCGTGGCCATCTTGTAATATTTCATTGGCTAAAAAATGAATAATGCAACCAAGAGTTTAGTGGGTTTCTTTGCAATAGCACTTTTATTACATACATTTATTAAAAATATGTTTCTGATAAATTTCATATATAAGGGGAGAGAAAATGATCAATTCTCTTGTACATTTTCATACAATAAATAATCAGCATGCACATTTGTTCAATTCTAATACCACACTGTGAATACCTCTCAAGTGTCACTTCTCTGTAATCTTCAGAGGACAGATGTAAACCTAGCGATTGGTCATTTTTTTTTTAATCTACATTTTTTCCATTCCATGTGCCTTTGATTTCATCATATTCCAGAGGTGCAGAGAAAGAAGGTGAACGTAAGCGTGGCCCCTGGAATTCGGAAGATGATGCTCTACATAACAATTTTTTGTGCGATGAAGTAATATATGAAAATATTAGTCCTTCATTGCGACTCAAAAAAATTGTTAAATCGTTGAGTTATACAGTTATTCAAACAATATACCAATATAAACACATACCTCTGTTCATGATGGACACTTACAATAACAAGTAAAATACACTATATCCTAATGAGTTGATGAAAATTGCATTTAAGTCCATAACATCCTGAATTCTCATTCTTTTTGAAAAGCAAAACCAGCCAATTTAGAGTTAGTGTTCTGTGACAATGGTTTCTTTTTGCTGTCTAAGAAATTGTCTTTCTTCTTTTTATTGGCAATGTCTTTTGTTTCCTTGGAGTCTGTTTCTTCTCGTTTCCGTTTTTTGTTTTCAGGTGGAACTTCTGTGTTTGTATTTTCTGCATTTTGTACGTTTTCAGAATTTTCCGATTTTAATTGCTTTGCCTTGGTAATCCAGACCTACGATGAAAACAGAACTTACAATCACGATTCTGTCAGTAACAAAACGTTCTGATAACATTCACAGTTGTTTGTGATGATGAAAAAATACCTTCACATATTAGGTTATACAATATTAGGAGGGGTCTGTAGCTTGCCAATATGTGAAAATAACCCAATATGTGAAAACAGGAAAAACTATATTGAATTAATTAATTACTGTGATTTAGTTTTTTTTCTTCTTCATGTTTTCACATATTGGGTTGATAGGATTTGTCCGATCATGTGCAACCCAATTCGTGAAAAGTGATTTTTTTTTTTTTTTGCTAATTAGGGGATTTAATTAGTTGAGATGGTTCACATTAGAGTTAGTTTGAATAATAAGTAAGTTGAACACAGTAATTAATTAATTCAATATAGTTTTTCCTGTTTTCACATATTGGGTTGTTTTCACATATTGGCACGCTACAGGAGTCACAATGTATTGAAAATTTGGTACATGTATTTGTATATTTACAGTACACAGAGATATTTATTCAAATGCAATACAAAAATAAAACATTGCTATAGCAACATTTTTCAAACACTTATTTGTATTTATCTGTTTAGTACATGTTTCATCTTTACAAATAACTTCAAAGTCCAGGAAACACATTAATAACCATACAACAGCCTATTACTTGTGGTGAGAAGTGGCAGAAAATTCATATTGGACGATTAGTTCATTTAAAAGTTTAAAATTTGCAAGATCGATCCATTTGTTTTATGATTCATTTTTTTACAACACCTGATGACATATTCTTCCGTCAACAGAAATAAAAGCAGGATTTCTCAAAATATTGACATTTTTCCTATTATATTATATTGTGATACAATATCACAGTACATTCCTTCTGTCATTAATTCTAGAAATATATTGTGACAGACCACTATACACTGTGCAACCTTATTTAATAGAAAATAAGTATAAATTACTCAAAATCAGTTCAAACAGATACAATCAATCAAAACTTGCTGCTCTTTCCAAGATAATTTATTTAATTTCTATCAAAAATACCCTGCACATCTAAAAATGTGTTCAATAATTTGAGATAACAAAGTCAAACTATAAAGTACATTTCCTTACACTCACCTGTTTTTCCTCTCTAGGGATTTCCCTGAAACGTTCAGCAGCTGTCTGTACCAGATCTGCCTCGGCCAGGTCCGGATGTTCTTCTTCTAGGTCCACTCGATTCTCCTCCAGCCACAGGTCAAACGCTGACGGAGTACTACACGAAATACAGGCGGCAGAACCAATAATTAAAGAATGGAAGCTCAATTTCATTATTTATAATTACAATAGACTCAATTCAAATTTGATAACACATTGAGACAAGGACTCATCTCGCATGTAGTTCACAACCAATCCAGGCCCTTCCTCTCATGCCCCAAACTTCGCGTTTACATTTAAAAAGCAAGGTTATAACATAACTTTAGTTCTCTGTCCCCATATATTTACATTTGAAATAGCCCTAAAATGGAAGAAAATTTTAAAATTTGATTCCAGATTTCCTTTGTAATAAATACTAAAGCTGGTGCATCTCAAAAAGAGAAAAATAAATTTCATTGCTGAGCAAAATGCAGTTCTAAAAAATATTCCTATGAAGTCATTCAGCTATTGTAAGATCAAATTAACTTCTTCATGCCATTTTTAAATAAAAAAAAAATCTACTTATTATTCAAAACATCTTAATAAGTTTTCTCATGTTGCCATCGATATAATTTGAACAGAATTTGAAAACTTTATTGATTCTTTCCAATAGGCAATACATTAATTTGTTGAAACCTTAGTGTACAACAGTTTCTTACCTTTGCTGAGGGGCTGGAGTTTCATTTGTAGGATCTGATTTTGCTGTATCTGTTTTGACCTTTGTTGCAAATAAATTTCCCTGTGTTGACTGTAAAAGAAGACAGAGTAACCCACGTCATTAAATCATCAATACACAGCAAAGTACATTCTTACTACGAGTGACAAACTACTCACTTTTGAGTGACTTCATACAAAACAGGGTTAGACACTAGCTTTTTTTGCTTGATAGTCCACAGGACTAGTTGAATAGATTAATTACTTGTCCTTCGTCAATGTAACTAGTCCAAGATTTCCTGATAAGGAAACATCGCGATCTACAGCACGAAACATCAAAGTAATCTACTGTAGGGGAGTTAAAATAACTACTGCCATAAAAATATGGTGAAGGTTAGAAAAATGTTGACAATTATCATGCAATATATCTTATTTTAAGCATTTTTCTAAATTTTAAAAAGGAATATTCTTATTTTATAATCATATTTTTCACAAGTTCAAAGGACCAGTAAGGTTAGGTGATTCACTAGTCCTTGCTGAAATCTACTAGTCCAGGACTAGCGGACTAGTGTTAGTGTCAACACCTACAAAAACTTGATGATATACTTATAGCTAAAACTGTAACATGTACCAGGTACCTGGTATATATAGATATTTGATTTTGAGGAGACATGATGACTTCCGGAAGACATTGCTCCAGCTATTCTTTGCTTTTTTTTTTTTTTTATTTCACATACATACACAACATTTAATTTTACATGGACAGAGAAAGTACAACTGGAGTTGTGATTTTTTGACATTTGCTATAAAATTAATTTCAAAACATGTTAAGAAATTGCAGAAACTGCCCTTGTAGCATCCTCGATACCCCTCATCACTTTCGCTCTCTGCACCCCTAGAATATGTCATGACGAAATTGAAGACTTTAAGCTCGCCACCTTATGGAGGAGATGAGAAGACTATTTGGTCCTTTGACGAACATCAAAAGAATCTCGCGATCACATAACGGTAAAATTGACCGCCTTTAAAGTTGCTTGTCGCTCCCCTGTCATCTTCAAAGGACAGGTATCAGCCTAGCGATTTGTCGGGTGGTTTTTTTTACACCTGAGACCAATCAAACAGCTAGCTGTGTGCCTTCAATTTTGCTGACATGTTACAGGGGTACAAAGAGCAAAATTGAGCATAACCCCTGGACATCGAGGATGCCTTTGAACAAGGAAGTCAAACCTGTGCTTACCTGTACACCAGGGTTCAAATACATACACTGTCCAAAACTCTAGACTTCACACTGACCTACAGCTGGTCATACCACCGCTATTGTTTATCCAGTACAGTCATATTTGTTTGATATATAGTGTTAATGCCATAATAATACCTTTTTGGGTTTAACAAGTATCTTCCCTGGTTTGCCAATGATAACGGGATCAGCTACTTTACTTTTCTCTGTTTTCTTTCGATTCATACTATCAAACACTTGTGTGCCTTTTGCACTACCGCTGGGCGCCGTCTTCTGTGAACCCTGGGACATCTGTAAAGCGAAAATTTACGGACAAATTTAAAGAAAAATTTGAAGAAAATACAAATCAGAATCGGATCTTTTACAAAACATAAAACCGAATGTTGATGCCAATACTGGGGAAATTGAACCTATTTCTCAGATGGTCGCCTTTTCCCTAAATCAGTATTTTTGTGTTTTGTGGGGTTCATGTGGTAGTGGAGCGGAGTGTAACATTATCATCATTATGATCATTATTCTGGGAGGTGGCACAAGAATATGACCCCAGATACAGCTTCCATAGATCTGATGTCAAAGTGAGTTTTAGAGCTTGTTTAGGTCAGATTATATTAATACTTCTGATGGATATTTTCTAATGAAATACTTGAAAACCCTTAAATTCAATAATAAAATATAACAAATCTATAAAGAAGAATTTTCAACAGGTGCTTGCTGATGTCTCGAGACTTTGACTTACCTTGAAAGGGTTAGATGACCTTGCTGAGGATATAAATGTGGGTCGAGTTGGTTTCTCGGATTTTGATTTCAGATTTAACATTGGACCTAAAAACAAGACCAAAATACTAATTAGACAGAATATCGTGGCTATTACTGACATGAGAGAATATTAAAAACAATGGACCACCAAGTCTTTGTAAACTATGAGGTAGATATGCTTTACTTTGTGTTAAAACATTAGAAATAAAAAAAAGAGAGAGCACAATTTCACTATGTCCATTATTGTAATTTGGCACTGGAGAATATTGCCACAGAGATGTATGATTAATCCCCGGAACAGTGTTGAGGTGGTTTATTTACTTTACTAGCAAATATAATATGTACATCTTCTCCACAATTTTGTGCCAAAGCTTTTCTTCTGAACAATTTTCCACCCTTGAAGTCCTCATAACTACCATTTTAATGGTTCAACTTACTTAACTACCCTAGATAATAGGAAACTGACTGTTTTAACTTGGTCTAAGAACACTCCCACAGAAGATCCAAGTACTGTACCTGATGGCCTGTCCTCCTCCTCCTCCTCCTCCTCTCCATCCATGTTGATTTCCTCATCACCTTCATCCATCACTTCCTCGTCCTGTACCAGATGACCCCCTTCCTTGGGTCGTGCCCCCAAATGACCATTTCTACCAGCCCAGTCAGTTACAGGATTATAACTGAAAAATAAAATTCCAAGATATTATTTAAGGCAAGACATCTATTGAAATTGATAATTCAGATTTAAAGTTCACTCTACAGAACAGCTTCTCCTACGACAATCCCGGTAACTGATAATTCTGATAAATTTTCACTCTACAAAATTACATAACTTCTCCATCCAACAATGATCATCTATAAATCTTGAAATCACTTTATTTCACCAAAATTTTATCTTTGTGATAATACTCCATATGATAAATGCAAGAATGGACTTTCTGAAATTATCTTTTAGACCATATACCATCGATTTTGAGTCAATTTTGGATTAGTACTTTTAAAGTCAAGATTATTGTTCTATATATATATATAATCTAAATAAAAAACCTTGCAAAAAAATCCAAAAAATCTCTACCTAACGAAACTTATTTTACAGAGGTGAAACTACTACATAAGAGGCCTTATTTCTATCGTATACGTTTTTTCCCACTGTGTTACGCGGCCCCTGTCAACAGTATCTCGCCGTGTTAAACCTCAAACATTGTTGGAGTAGGGTGAAACCAGAAACACAATTTTTCGGGCCTAATGACCTTCTCTTTTTGGAACAATAAACCATGCACCTGACATCAATGAACTCCTTAATGATGTGATAGCCCTTTGGACAAAATATATGTTTATTGCTTTAATACAGAGACTGATTTTTTAATTTAAAATGCTTATTTCACATCAATAATAATAATACTATCTGCACAAGCCTACCTTGCTTCCGGTACATCCTCCTCGTCCTCCTCCTGTTCTGCCTCCTCCTCCTTCTGCTGAGCCAGTTCACTGATGCGCTCGGCTAGGTGCATGTGTTTGATACGACTGGCATACTTGATGGCTAGCTGAAGTGTGTGTTGTTCTGGCATCATCTCACACACCTCCAGGGCCCTGAACTCCCGGTCAGATCGTGCTGACAACTGTAACAAATATGAAAGGTAATTCTCGTTGCAAATTTGATCTATTATCTATATAAAAGTAAAACTATATCAAGCAGTCTTCGTATTGGCCAAGTTTCACTGTAATGGATATGTTCTCTCTAGACAGAATGCTTAAGAATCTCTGTCCCACTGAACTGTGTTTTTCTTTTTTATATACAGTAACCTCCCATTAACTTTCGCTTTGATTTAACTGTAGAAGAGTTGGGTGAGGACACTTCTGTTGACCAGGTGTAGCTCAAACAGTTAGAGCGATAGCAAAAGAATTTGAAATTAAGTGATTAAATCCTGAAAAGTCCAGCTGAATGTTTTTTACACCCAGAATATTTCTTCTTTGTTGTTTCTCATGAAAGTCCTGAAAGATTTGATTTTCTTTTCAGAAATATTCTATCAAAGCTATAAACGTGTCAGAAAAAACTGTTTCAAATACTGAAGTTACATTTTATGGCAGTGGTGTGGAGATCCTTAAAAGAGGTTTTCCTTGAATTTCTTTTCTATAGATTATATAAATATTTTTTCTTTTAAATTCAACGACAGTGACCTGGTTGAAATCTTTTGTCAGTACTAATGGTAAAATATTAACTTACAGCAAACAGTTTCATAAGAGCCTCCTGAGCAGGTTTGAGACTTTCAGCTTTCCTGGACGGCTCAAACTCAAACCCCTGGGACATCCAATGGTCAAAGTGCTGACCAAACAGCCGGGTCTTCCAAAGCGTTTCCTACAAACACATTAAAACACATTATTTTATATAGTATCAATATTACAAAATAACTGATACCTTCTAATCAAATCTCTGTAATTAATCAAGTTTAATTTCAAAACAGAAAAATGCACTTAACACCTATACAAGACAGGGATATGTTAAAAGCTATTTGTATATGTGATTACTTAATTAATGGTGTTTTTTTTCTCCTTTTTGCTATATCCCTGAATGTCATATCTCTCTTTTTTTTTTACTTCACATAACAGGCTTTAAGCCCCCCCCCCCCCTCAAAAGATTACTTGTGTTTCCCCTATCATCCTCAGAAAAAATAGGGTAGTTAGGTACCCAATTTGTTTTTACTTTGGAAAATATTTTCACTATGCTTATATAGAACAGGAGTTCTGATGCACAACAATCTAGGGGAGTGGAAACACAAAATTTGTTTTAATTTGGCCTTACAGAGAGTATTCCAACTTGCGTTCATTCATGGTCAATATTAAAACTGAACCGTTACGGTGAACATACTTCATATTGACTCTTTTCTGTGTTCATCTCGCACAACTGAACCTGGAACGGGAGTATGGACACGGCAGGACGAGGAAGGACTGGAGGGTATCGGGACCCCTTACAGGGAATACAGCGCAACTGCTGGGGGTTTTCATTCACCCCTACAATCCAGTAATGGTCCGATTTCCCCTTCGCCTTTAAATAAAAGAATATTGATGATGAAAAGCTGTGGTAAAAATGGTTCATAGTCTGAACTTTTAGGTAACATACATATTCAGGGCTACATTTACTGTTAAAAGTAGAGAGTTCCATCTATGTACTTTCTCTATATTCGTACCAAAACATTTCTAGGTTGCAGGCCTTTTAAAGCATTCCCAATAATTTTGATGAAGATAACACTTTGCTAAAGTAAATAGGCAGGCAACTCCAGTATATGAAGCAAATTTGTGGAATTAAAATCCCCTGCTTAAAGGATTTGTTGACGATTCCTTTAAAGTTTAACACTCAGCAAAGTCTTGTGTTTTCTCTCAGAAAAACTCATCCTCCGTGTTTAGATATTGTTCTGCCTACATTACACTGGAGCGATAGATTCTATCATTCTACCCTACACTCCCAGGTGACTGCTTCCTTAGGGGTTTTCCATTTTGTACAAATGGATAAGAAAGAGAAAAAGAAATTCTTAAACCATTCTTACACTGAACAGCTCTATATGACATCCACAGGTATGGGAGGAAGCTACTACAGTATACGTACATGTGATTTGGTGTTTGCCACTTGCATCCAGCTCGGGCCAAATTTTCTGTTGAACATCCTGACGATGCCGGAAGACTCCATATAGAAAGGTGTTCCTTCAGCTGAAAAACTGAGAAAAGAACAGAAACATTGATGGTTGAGTCAAAATAAATTTACAAACTTCTGAACTTGTGTATGTGTTTTTAAAACCTACCTAAGGTTATAATCTTAATACCTTTGTGAACCACAAAACTGGAATATGATAGGAACATCTGCTGTAAACAAGAGGCCCAAGAGGGCCTGTATCGCTCACCTGAATATTAAAGCAGTCATAGCAAAATATTCTCATTAAATATTATATTGCACTTAAAATATTTCCCTCGCAAACTTTGTTGGTTCCATCTGTTGAAACTACCAGCAAAATATCATCATAAGATTCTATGCTTTTTGATTCTTCTTCAGAAGTTGCTGGACGTATTTTTCCCTGTGACCTTCCAATTAGGTCAATGTCATTTTCCTTCTCAAATTCGGGCAGGTGAGCTAAAAATTACACAAATTGTTATTAAGATGCTATTCATACCCAGTCCAAGCCAGTGCTGTTTTAGGGGAGAGAGGTAGTGGCTGCCCTCCTAGTACAGTCCTCTGTTTGCCCTCCACATACATCAGTGTCACACCCAGACACTGGTCACCAGGGATACCTACAAATCACAAACACATTATTTGTACACCACTGTAGGGGTTCACCAGGGTACTTTTTGGGTCTGTTTAAAGGACCCATTCCAAACTGAAAAGTGTATAATTTTTCCCAACTTACCCATTTAATATTCCCCAAACCCTCAAAATAACTGCACAAGTATAGATAAATTCCTCACAGTTGACCGAGTTCACAGAATACAGTAGTATAAGTAGGAAGGACTAAATCATTATGCTGTCACAAAGATAGGCCTAAATTAAAGTTAAATATTCTAATTTCATGTAGGCAGCATTGTTATATCGAACCTCCATTTCCCAATATGGTTCTATGCTGTTTCAGTTTGTATTTTCCCAATTTATCCATCTATAAATAGATTGCTGTTATTGATTTTACAGTATGTCCTACTGGTACATTTTCTCCTCCATATCTGAGCACATGCTATGAGGTCTTCATCAAGTGACATTGATTTATTGCTTCAATAAAAAAATCCTTTATTTTGTATGAGGAGGCAGTACCCAAATCAGATCCCTTTTTGCAAAAATACTTATAAATAAGTAAATGTGTCAACAAATCAGTTATAGCAATGATGTTGTCTAAGAATAGATAGCTATGCACCATTTTTTGTCTACAGATGATTAGTTTTTAAGTTCAAATAGTGCAAGGAAATGTAATTCAAACTCAAATGTTAGTGTTTTGATTACGTGTTTAAATAAGAGGCCCAATGGGCCTGCATTGCTCACCTGGTATACATCTCACACTTGTAGCCTTAAAAGTGAAGTCGTTTAAAGATTTTAACATGTTTGAACCCTGTGGCTTTGGATATAATTCAAGGTCATTCAATTGAACAAATTTGGTAGCCCTTCTTCCTAGCATTCTACTGGCCAAATATCAACATCCTGGGCCTTTTGGTTATTTAGAAGAAGTCATTTGAGGTTATAAGCGTATTTGATCCCTGTGACCTTGAATAAATGACAAGGTCATTCATTTGAACAAACTTGATAGCCCTTCATCCTATCATGGTACGGGCCAAATTTCGCCATCCTGTGACTTTTGGTTATTCAGAAGAAGTTGTTTAAAGATATTTAACATATTTGATCCTTGTGACCTTGAAAATAATTCAGGTCATTCATTTGAACAAACTTGATAGCCCTTCACCCCAGCATCCACTCCAGATAAATTCACACTATGGAAATACTGTCATTGTCATATAAATCTTAATATGCTGACTACAAAATATTCATTTGAAGCATAAGATTCCGCAAAATTCAAACCTTGATCCGATCTGGGTCCTGACATTCACAAAAACCGGAGAAGCTGATTGGTGACTTCAGAGCGTTCCATAAATATCTCAAGTGAGCCCCGGTAGCTAATTTCGTTTGTAAGAACACCCATCGATATTCTTCCTTTGATACAACCATTTATAAACGAGTATAATTCCTTGTCAGATTTTTCAATGATTTATTAAAATGATGGTTTGGTGATCCGATTTGGGAACTGTCACCTTACTTAAATGTTTTGAAAAGCCAGTAATTTCCTTTCATAAAGACATTTGAGATACTTATCCACCATAATTCTTATATATTACTGTAATTAGTCCCATTTTAAAATCAAGATATGCATGCAAACAAGCATTATAAAGTCTAGATATGACAGTGAGACACTCACCCATGCCCCGGTGGTACACAACAAACCAGCATTATGAAGTCTAGATATGACAGTGAGACACTCACCCATGCCCCGGTGGTACACAGCCATAAGCTGATTGGTGTGACCTGTCATACACACCACCGGTCCCGGTATGGACAGCATCTCTCGCTGCACACCCCCCAGACTGAAGAGTCGTACATTTCTTTTGTCCGTTGCTACAGCAACCCAGTCCTCGCCCAGTGTCACAGCCTACAGGCATACAAACATTCTAGTCTCTTATTTGAATTAAACAGGAAAACGAACAGGAAAACACAACTGGGAAATATCTATCTCGTCCAATAAATTTTCTGTCTTGCTAATTTTAAAAAAACACATTAGTTTTCATACTTCAGGCTTTTTATGCTTTATGTGTTTTGGATATAACAGGATCTTAACATTTTCATCTCATAAAGATTTATGAATCATCCAAGAAATCATCCTAATATCAGCCGACTTGATTTCATATTTATCATATTTAAGATGATTTCACAGTATCAATATATCACAGCTTTTGTCTCAGTTTCAATGTAAATCAACATTCCCTGATGTACAGAGCTACAGCCATATCTTAAGAACCACACCAACCATTATTTCCTCCCCGTCTGGCATGGTTGTGGTCCACTCCTTACAGCTGTCCCATGACCCAAAGTGCATGCAGGTAAGTTTGCTGGGGTTGCCATCGTCACTCTCGGCAGCAAGAACGACAGCCTCGGAGGACATGTCGGCCAGGGTGTAGTGACTTGTGTTGGTGATGTGCATGGCGTGGTGTATTGACGTGTTGTGGAACTCAATATCTATGCTGTTCTCTTCATCTGTGTTATACTGCTTGATGATACCAATGGAGTTCCAAACCTGAACAGAAATCAGGTCAAAGGTGAAAGGCTAAAGACATACAGGGCAAAGCCATCAGCATACATCATGGCAAGGTCAGATAACATAAAGGTGAAGTTAGTAATACAGGAAGAAAATCAAAGGTCATCCAGGATATGGTTACAACGCATACAAAAATAAGGTCAAAGGGAATATGGTGCAAGGTCATAGGGATATAGAACAAGGTCAAAAGGGAAAGGTCAGAGGGCAAAACGTAAATAATAGGGGGCCTCCTGGAAATACTTAAGTTGAGATACTCCTGATTGACAACAACATATATCTTCATAGTGCTTTGCTTTTTAAATTGAATTAATATGACTGAAAATTCAATGTTTTTGGGTTTTTTTGGTTTTTTTTACATTTATATGACGTCTTTTAAAGATGTTGGTATTAAACTAATCAGGTGGGAAATGAGATAATCTAACCCTATTCATCAATAAATACACTATTATATACTGCATTACGGTGACATACCATGAACCTGCTGGAGAGGTGAACTGGCGTACTGCCTGGCTGGAATGGGTTCTGGAGCGGCGTTGGTTTGTATCCCTCCACCGCCACAGGAGCAGGGGGCAGCTCCAGGGGAGCATCCGACATCACACTGGCACCATCATCTAGGTCCGACTTCTTCGACATGGTGTCGTCTGATACAACAACCAAGTATATCGCTTTAGAATATGATGTATGTAATATTAGTGCTGCATGGATCATAAATGGTAACTTTTTTTTTAAATCCAATAGTGCCATTTGTGGACCATTTCTGAAATTCAATGTTTCAAAATATAAGGGACGGCATTTAACCAAAACCCGGATTTATCACAGAATCAGCAATTTTATGAGGGAGTGGATGTCGCATTGTTACCGAAGAACACCAACCATTTAAACAGGGGAAGGACCTTGACCGCTGACAAAACATTTAAACACCCTACCATGTCTATAACTTTGTAGCCAATCAGTCACATACAGGAATGCCCTCAGCCTGATGGTCAGTGAAGATAGGTGTTGAATTCACGACAGGCATGGTGGACAGACAGATAGCAGGGTTTTAGCTGTGTTCCTCATGAAGTAATTCTAACACTGGTCAACAGATACTAAACAATGGCAGACAAAATTCACAGATGCCAGACAAAAGTTAACAACAAACAGCCATTACAAAACAGGCTGTAATAAACCCTAAAGTACAGGGCTGAATTCTCTAAAAACTATAAATCAAATTCTATAGGTATAGTGCAACCTGACCCACTAAGCATTATAAAATTACAAATACTCTTGGACAATTCACTGGTATTTTCTTTCAGGGAACATTTTTCATAGGTGCTTCAAAACTTTTTGTTATGAAATCTCATCTGCTAAAAGACCACAACACACTTTCTTTTTCAAGTAGAAGGTTATGTATCACAACCAGAAAGCTTTCATGTGTGATGTTTTTCTTTCAGGTTTCGGACACGAAAATAACCTCCAGCATTACATAGCATTACATAGCATTTCATTGCTCAGTTACCATCAATATCTCCTAAGGGTTTTATGACAGGCATCTGGTCATCATCGTCCGAGTTATCAGCTCCTAACTCCATTCCAACTTTTCCCTCATCATTTGTAGCCTGTATCAGCATGTCGTCATCATCGTCATCATCAAATATACCAAGAGTCTCCTTAGCTCTTGTCTCCTGTACTGGAATGCTCTGCTGTAATCAAGCGTTGATATGATAAACTTAAAGTGATTAAATAAATTGCAGGTGTTTTCCAATGTTTTCCAATTCTGAAATTAAGGACCTCTGTCCCACTGCACGGCGTTTTTTTTGCAATATACAGTAACCTCCCTTTAACTTCCGTTTAGACTTAACTGTAGAACATTTAGACTAGTACACTTTTGTTGACCAGATAGCTCAATCGGTTACAGTGATGGTAAAACAATCTTAAGTCTAGGATTCAAACCCCGGTCTAGCCCCGCTGAATTTTTTCACTAAGAACACTCTTGTTGATTGAATATTTTGTATATTTCATCACTATTTTTTTTATAAAAACCACAAAGTATGGTTTTCTTTTCAGAAATGATTTATCATGACTATAGTCATGCAGGACAAAAACAGTTTCCAACACTTAGAACAGTTTTCGGCAGTGGTATGGGGATCTTTGAGATTTTTTTTTTTATACCTTAAAGTCATAAATGATTATACTGAAAAATTTAACTTCAACACATTTTATCACATAATGTACTGTGTTAACCAATGAATATACCCATGTCATATTTGTATGCATATTAACCCATGTAATATGACCCATCAGCCCTGCGATTGGTTGTAAGTTTCAATTATTTCAATTGTGACGTCACGCCTATGACTAGTACATGACTTTACAGACTTACGCACTGGAGTCAAAATGGCTGCTTTTTACATTTTAAGGTTGCATGAAAGATGTCTTTTTACACAAATAAAAGCCACAAATCTTGATTATCTGATCAAATATATCTTACACACTAGTTTTTAATTCATATGAAATTTATGAACAAAGTCATAAATTTTCCAATTTAGAAAAGCCAGAGGCTCGCTAAATTGAAAAATTCTTGGACTCATGTCATAAATCTCATATGAAATGGAAAGTCATGTAACATCCTATTATCCGGAAAAGGGAGCTAGACTAACATATATAACAAAGACAGGTCAGCAAGGCCTGACCATACCCTCTTTTCAGTAACAGTATTTTGACCTTAACTTTTAAACCCCTGGTGTATCATCGTGTTAGATTTCAAAAATTCTAGTGTTTTGGATTCTGAGATAAGGACAGCAACCCCAATAGTGACAGGATAGAACAAGGAGTAACGTTAACACTAAGGCAGTTAATTATATTCAATTGCCAAATATAAACCAACCTGTGCATCTAAAGATAGCTTGATGTCCTCCAGCAGTCCTAACTGACCCTGTAACATAAAATGTCACATTATACTACAAACAATTGAATTTAAGTATTAACCGATTCACCCCTAAAGTCTCATTGGAACCTTACCAAATCAAATACTGGGCAAGTCCAGTTTAAAAATGTAGGGGTGAATGACTTTTACTGTAAAGTATTATAAATATCAGTATTTGCCATCAAATCTCGCACTGAAACCGATCAGAAGTTTTATTTATAACATACAAAATCTCTACTGGATGCCAGGTGCTCCACTTAACATATTTTTCTTTTAAAGAAAATAATTTAGGGATATAAGTCATCCAGTAGAAAATAATCCAACAAATCTGCTTCAAAACATATATGTTATTCAAGACAAACTCAATGTCCTTATAACTGGAGATTAAAAGCAAATATTTGATAGACATCACAAATGGATACATTTATACACTCAGTACTAACCTAGCTACATGAAGTCAGTATAAAGACATTTTTTACCTATTTGACCTATGAAGAGATTATACAAGCCGATTATTTTTTCAATTAACTCAACAGATCGCTCATTGTTGTTGAATTGCTCAAGATTTCAATATATCTTGGTTGCAATAGTTTTGATAATAAAGCAGACTACATACCTCTTTATCACAGAATGCCAGCTCTGTTGCCTTTTTGGGATTCCAAGCTAGGGAAGTTACAGAAAATTTCTTAGGGTGTCTGTACCTGTTGGAAGATTAAAATTCAAAATATTGCTACAATGATTTTGCCTATTTTTATAAAGGAGTAAAAGGACTTGGGGCATTATTGGTTATTTTTGGCCTCATAAAAAAGTAAAAAATTAACTTTGAATTTGTTTATCAACTTCTGTTATAAACATTATATTGGTTCATTGGGGCTATCTTTCTTGGTGCAGATTTTTTCAATGAGCATGCGTAGATGCCCTAGCTACCATAGCAACAGAATTGTGTTCCTTTGCAGAAATAGCCAAAATATGATGTTTTTGGACAATTAGCATGCAGAAATGAAAACCTCAGCATGTGATCAACAAAAATTCCATTTAACAAATGAACACTGGTATGACAATGTTTAAGCATGTCAATGATTCATTTGCTTGGTGCATACAGAGGCTTTCAAAAATTGAAGAGTGTTTAGTTAATGTGCTTCAAAATTGCCAATTTTCAACCAAACAGCGCACAGCAGACAAAACTCAAATGTTCACGCATTTTACTACGAAATTACGGGATAATGACTCTCTTTGTAATGTCAAGTCTTCTAATTAAACTAGTTGTCAAACTTGAAATTTCATATTTGCATACTTCATTTTTTCCAGATGACCCTAACGCCCTAGTCCTTTGTTTCCTCCCCATATTTAGTATTTCCATTTGGGAAAGAAATATCATGAAATTATTTAAAATCAACATTAAGAGGATGGAGCAAGGACAAGAGGACTCAAAAAGATATAATGTCTTTCTTGAGAAGTACCATTTCTGATGTCCAACTCATTACAATCTTTCATTACAATAAAACTTCAGCTCTACCACAAAACGACAATGGTGTCCAAATTAAATGTAAAAGATGAGTGCACACGTACCTGTCCACACACTTCCTGGTCTTAACGTCCATCACTAGTATGTTTCCCTCTGACGAAGCTGCAGCTAGAGTCTTGCCATCAGGAGACAGAGCCAGGACTGACAACACCTATTCAACCACAAATATATACCCAATAAGAGAGTTTTAGAGAGGAATCATGTCAGAATAACTGATTGCCACTTTCCATGAATAAAAATAAATCAATTATTCAATTTGCATATACATGTATGGGATGAGGAGTCTGGAGGGCACTTAATTTTGATAAATGAATGGTAGGGTCCAACCAAATTGTTAACATGTGCTAGAGTGGAGGAAGGGGCACAAAAAAATGAAAAAAGTTTGATAAACATAGATCTTAGATGGTACAGAGTGACAGTTGATACAGACCCAGAACACCTTGTACATGTACATGTACGAAGCTAACCGTTTATATATTGGATAAATGGCAAAATTGGTGTAGTTTTCTTGATCAGTTGTGTATAAAATGAGATTAGTAAACCAACAGCATTATTCCAGAATATTTCACATACCAAAGGTGTGACCTAATTTTGTCAAAGACCCCATCACATATCACATTCAAAGCTGAAAAGATTAAAAACAAGTTTCTTGCATTTATATCACACTAGAGACCCTTCCACTCCTACTTCATCCTCGATTCTCCAGCACGACACCGACTTATGTTCTCTGCACCCCTATACTATATGTTGAAGCAAAATCTAATGCTGTCTGCCACCACCTTATGGATGAGACAAGAAAACTAGATTGATCCTTTTGATTTACATCAAAAGAACATCGCAGTCGCCCGACAGTAAAATTGACAAAAGTCGGGTGTTGCTCCTCTGTAATCAACAGAAGACAAGTATCAGCCTACAGGAATCAATCTAGGTTTTAGGGGAATCTACCCTTTTTCAGATTTGGGGGAAATTAAAATTTTGCTACAAGGCTCTAGCGTCATGAAGGTGAAAGATAAATGTTTTGTCCGACATACACGAGTGCAGTGTATTTCAATTTACAAACAATTACAAGATGTTTTGCTTAAATTATGTGGAGAAGATGCATTTATGCAGTAATATGCATTTTAACTGTTAAACTTTAAAGAAAACAAATGGGGAAATATTTAGAAGAAACCCCCCGCTATTTTCTTATTGAAATAGGGGAATTTTGAAGCACATAAGGGTGAATTTTCCTCTATAGGGGAGGGAAACTACCCATAAAAGGTAGTGAATCAAGTCTAGATTGATCCCAGGCCTAGCAACTGGTCATTTTTTTTTTATACCCGAGACCAATCAAATAGCTAGCCATGTGCCTTCAATTTCGCTATGGCATATTCCAGGGTTGCAGAGAGCGAAAATGAGTGAAACCCTGGAGTATCGAGGATGCTCCTACTTTTGTATTTAATTGTCCTTATTCTTAACGATTCTCAAGTGACTTGATATGATGCAGACATACTCCAGCTATATCTTCAGCTTGGAAGGTTCCGGCTTTTTTCCAGCTCGATCTTACGTAGATGTGAATTTCCTTTTCCACGGGAACAAAAAGATTCTGTAATTTGAAAAAAAAGAGATCGAAACATCATTGGCAACGTTTAATACCGTAAAGTGTTGCTCAAGTATTTTCAAATAATCAGTTGTTTGTTGGATGGAAATGTATGAAATATTCAGGAGAAATCTCTCTTCTCTACTACAGCATGTAGCATCAGTGTAATACAGAATTATAGCACACAGGTATATGGCAGTACATATTAGAACTCTGTAAAGTAACTATTAATTACAGCGGGGAAAAGCATGGTTATATCAAAGTTGTCTAAAGCTTTTATGGCAATTAACTTTGTTGTAAACACTGAAGCTATCGGTGATTTATCATCAAAGGTCAAAATCAGATTAATCAAATTTTAGGCAATCACTCAAAAATTAATAGTTCCTTAATTTCAATCACATCTAGGCTTTAAAAGATGTCAATTTTTTTCAAGACAATGAGCTTTGTTATGAAGTTAAAAGATAATTTGTTTATAAGGACCAGAGGGATTTAGTGGCCAAGGGGAATAACTCAATTATGACCAGAAAATTATATTTATCAGAATATCCTGAAATTTTATGGTTTTAAACCTTGTTTTAAAGTTTAAAGTTGATTCAATAATAAAATTAAGCAGAAACAACATTTTAGCAGAATTAAAAAAAAATAATACTGTCTTTTGATCAAAGTTATCAAAGTTTTATGGAACTTAATAAAAAAAAAGTTTTGAGCTTTAAATTGTTATTTTAAATAATCAGCTTGAAAGTACAGCGTGTATTATCATAAAAGTAAATTCCTTCAAGAACTTCCTAAATATACAGTAAAACATGTCTATAAACAGTGATTATTTTACCCCATTTTTAGTGCCGACTTTAGGTACTTCCCCAAGTGAACTTTTCCCAATTCTGACCCAATGTTTTCCCAATCGCTTGTAAAAGAATTGAAAAATGCCTTTTTATAAACTGATGTACAACGTTGTTAAAGTTTTTGACAAATAGAAATTTATCTTGAGGCATTGAATTCAAGCTTCAAGTTTTGTTTAAGCATGAGGTTGTTTGAGCGCGATCAATCAAAATTTCCCTTATATCATACATCCGTAACAAGTCATATAATTGCCAATTCATTGTGTTCACGCAGTAAAATTTCCAATAAAAAAAGGCATCGGCCCTTTCGAAAAAATCACTGATAATGAAGCCAAGGGGACACAGGATGATATAAGACATCATTAAAGCGTGATTTCACAATGATCTGATCAGTTCTTGCAGTAACCTTTTTCTGCTGCTTTTAGATAATAATGAGGCATAAAATATTTTTTATTTTTTTTAAATAAATCTTTAAGCAGCGTATATGAAATAGCAGACTGAATGATAGATCAACCCATTAAGACTCACAAATTTCAGTTCATGGTAAAATATAATATGATGCATACCTCTCCCTTCAAATCCCAGCATAGCCGGCACATGGTTTTTGATAAACTGAAATACAATTTTAAAAGCATCAACAAAAATTCATATATAGTCCCCTACACGAAATTCATGTAATTCTTCATTTCCTTTAATAACAAATAATTTCAATTCCCAATATCTTTTGTTAAGAATGGTATATTCGTACAACCTTAGGTGTATATATGTCATATTAAAAATATATCAAATCTTTCTTAATGAAAAAATACCAGGTTAATCCAAAAGGTCTTTAAACCTTAAAAGTAAAGTTTTAATAGTCAAACTTTCACTACTATGTATAACCTTTTTAAGAATCAGTCAAATTTTCAGCTTTGATGGGATTTTTACTACATGGGAAATTAACCAATAAATGGGGATCAATTTGGCTTTAGATTGATCCCCCGATATCACCCATATGTATGTTGTTCAAATGTTCGGTCCATTAGCAGATCCTTGTATTCAATTAACTAGGACATCTATTTTGAGGTTCCAAGGCCTCACACAACAGAAAGTTTGTGTGTAGTATCTATTTTTACCTCACATCATTTGTTTTTGGGAGAATATTCATGGATGTCACTTGAGAATGGTCGTTGTGTTGCCAAATCCTTACAGTACCATCACAGCTAGATGAGGCCTGAAGATAGAATACATATTTATGTTGTGTACTAAATGCTGTGAATTCAGTGTAGAACATCAAAGTACCTAAAAAGTTAGTTTTTCAATATTTCATTATTCATTCAAAACAAACAAGGCTCTAAATGATTCCTTACTCAAAGGACCGAGTTATGGCAATGTTAGCATACCATCTGCAACTAGGAAGTCAAAGACCCAAGCTCAATTCAAGAAGAATATAAAGACCGACCTTTATACGTCTTAATTTTATGCTGTTTTGCACAAACACCATGTACACACTACCCTATATATTTTAATATCTGTATATTATATGCATATGGAGATTAGAGCTGTCATGATACACTTAACCCACGATTCGATACGTATCTCGATATTTGAACCACAATTCAATTATTTCGAATCGATACACCTTTATTTTAAAACATAAACAAAATGAGATATATATATAAGCCGTCAATACACGGAAACCCGCAGTGTTTCCACACTTTTGATTTGAAGCTTGCCGGAGCATCACAAATTTTCATTTCCTTACGGCGGTCCGCCATTTTGTTATGAATGCTTTGTGAAAATTGCATCCTCGCAGCCGATTGGTTGAGGGTTTAGAGATCAGCCAATGAAATTGAACGTCTCACAGACGTTTCGACTGATGCGGCATACACAAATATTCAGATTGTGACGTATCGAAAATCCGGAAAATGTATATCGTGAATTGAATGGAACATAAATAATCGCGGTACAAGTGCATGGCGGTGAATCGTGACGCCTCTAATGGAGATAAATGTCTTGTTACCTGATGTTAAATGATGATTTGTATGCCTTTTTTCTCTCTACTATATTTATAACTGTCAATGTAGGAATATTATTATTCATGTGCGGTAAAGCGCCTTAGAGTAGTTTTCCAAATTATTTAGGGCACTACACAAATGTTGTATATTACTATTGTATAATGACAATTCATTACAACATACCTGTTTTATGCACATTCCTGTTAAGACCACATACTGATATAATACTTACCCTGGAGTAAATTTTGTACGCATTTGTGAAAATTCACTCAAACAGAGGCCTCAAATTAAATTTCATACCTACCACAAACTCTTCCTTTGGGTCGAGTGCAACACTGAGCACAGGGGCTTCATGACCTTGCATAGTTTTATGGCTGCATGAGTCCACCTCTACTGCCTTAATGGTGAAGTCACTGGAAATGGAAACGCAAGTTGATAAAACACATTAGGCCAAATAAAATTAATTACTTGGTTCTCAGGCCATTTTTTTTCAAAATAGATGCGGCAGGGCGGCATTTTTTTCTCTCATTTTACATGGCAACAAGGTTACCGCGAGCGGTATATAATACGCCCGCCACACATTGAATGAGCAGTTGTTTGTATGATTGAAATATATGAAGTATTTGTGAGTAATTGATATTAAAAGAGAAATCATTCAACATAACTGGTAGATCAATGAGTGCAATACAACATCATGGAACGCATGCATCGCATTAATGAAACCAAGGGGAATAACTCCAATAATTACGGTCGGATAATGGCGGTTATCGAACTTGTCCG